TGGTAACTCTGACAGTAATAATCTCCTCTATCTTCAGTCTGGACTCCACTGATGCTCAGAGTCAAATCAGTGCCACAATCGGCTCCATTTCCACTGAATCTCGATGGCATTCATGACTGGAGGGTTTTAATGTTACGTGCTAGTGGCGCCACCTTCTGTGTGTTTAGAGAATAAACCACTCAACATTGTTCAAGAAATACTTTATGAATTTACTCCGTTAAATTCAAACGAAGTGTATTATTCTATATAATGTATCTAAATGGAAGTACGGTTGCTCTACTGGGCTGATAATAGACGTAATAGTAAAGAGCATTTGCTTACAAAAAAAAAAAAAACAGATTCATATACGATACTAATGTTTTACGATATTACAGTAATGTTCGGTATTCTTATGCGGATTTGAGAGTTATAGCCTGTTTTTAGATTTTGAGAAGTGTAGTTCCCAGCATGCTTTGCATGGGACTTAACAGGGAGAGTACAACATTTTGAAAACAAGTATTATTTTTTGTGCTTTTGATCAAGATGAAAAAGGGGAGACTTGTAGTGTTTAATGTTCAATTTGCTACAACAACTCTTTGTGTTGTTTGTCATCCTCCCATCAGCAGCTGCAGTGTCTCTCAGCTGTATCAGTGCAGTCACTGGGACTCTGACTGAAGGAGGTTTTTGTACGACTCTTTATCACTGTGTGAACACATATTTACTGTTGATGTAGTGGTAACTCTGACAGTAATAATCTCCTCTATCTTCAGTCTGGACTCCACTGATGCTCAGAGTCAAATCAGTGCCACAATCGGCTCCATTTCCACTGAATCTCGATGGCATTCATGACTGGAGGGTTTTAATGTTACGTGCTAGTGGCGCCACCTTCTGTGTGTTTAGAGAATAAACCACTCAACATTGTTCAAGAAATACTTTATGAATTTACTCCGTTAAATTCAAACGAAGTGTATTATTCTATATAATGTATCTAAATGGAAGTACGGTTGCTCTACTGGGCTGATAATAGACGTAATAGTAAAGAGCATTTGCTTACAAAAAAAAAAAAAACAGATTCATATACGATACTAATGTTTTACGATATTACAGTAATGTTCGGTATTCTTATGCGGATTTGAGAGTTATAGCCTGTTTTTAGATTTTGAGAAGTGTAGTTCCCAGCATGCTTTGCATGGGACTTAACAGGGAGAGTACAACATTTTGAAAACAAGTATTATTTTTTGTGCTTTTGATCAAGATGAAAAAGGGGAGACTTGTAGTGTTTAATGTTCAATTTGCTACAACAACTCTTTGTGTTGTTTGTCATCCTCCCATCAGCAGCTGCAGTGTCTCTCAGCTGTATCAGTGCAGTCACTGGGACTCTGACTGAAGGAGGTTTTTGTACGACTCTTTATCACTGTGTGAACACATATTTACTGTTGATGTAGTGGTAACTCTGACAGTAATAATCTCCTCTATCTTCAGTCTGGACTCCACTGATGCTCAGAGTCAAATCAGTGCCACAATCGGCTCCATTTCCACTGAATCTCGATGGCATTCATGACTGGAGGGTTTTAATGTTACGTGCTAGTGGCGCCACCTTCTGTGTGTTTAGAGAATAAACCACTCAACATTGTTCAAGAAATACTTTATGAATTTACTCCGTTAAATTCAAACGAAGTGTATTATTCTATATAATGTATCTAAATGGAAGTACGGTTGCTCTACTGGGCTGATAATAGACGTAATAGTAAAGAGCATTTGCTTACAAAAAAAAAAAAAACAGATTCATATACGATACTAATGTTTTACGATATTACAGTAATGTTCGGTATTCTTATGCGGATTTGAGAGTTATAGCCTGTTTTTAGATTTTGAGAAGTGTAGTTCCCAGCATGCTTTGCATGGGACTTAACAGGGAGAGTACAACATTTTGAAAACAAGTATTATTTTTTGTGCTTTTGATCAAGATGAAAAAGGGGAGACTTGTAGTGTTTAATGTTCAATTTGCTACAACAACTCTTTGTGTTGTTTGTCATCCTCCCATCAGCAGCTGCAGTGTCTCTCAGCTGTATCAGTGCAGTCACTGGGACTCTGACTGAAGGAGGTTTTTGTACGACTCTTTATCACTGTGTGAACACATATTTACTGTTGATGTAGTGGTAACTCTGACAGTAATAATCTCCTCTATCTTCAGTCTGGACTCCACTGATGCTCAGAGTCAAATCAGTGCCACAATCGGCTCCATTTCCACTGAATCTCGATGGCATTCATGACTGGAGGGTTTTAATGTTACGTGCTAGTGGCGCCACCTTCTGTGTGTTTAGAGAATAAACCACTCAACATTGTTCAAGAAATACTTTATGAATTTACTCCGTTAAATTCAAACGAAGTGTATTATTCTATATAATGTATCTAAATGGAAGTACGGTTGCTCTACTGGGCTGATAATAGACGTAATAGTAAAGAGCATTTGCTTACAAAAAAAAAAAAAACAGATTCATATACGATACTAATGTTTTACGATATTACAGTAATGTTCGGTATTCTTATGCGGATTTGAGAGTTATAGCCTGTTTTTAGATTTTGAGAAGTGTAGTTCCCAGCATGCTTTGCATGGGACTTAACAGGGAGAGTACAACATTTTGAAAACAAGTATTATTTTTTGTGCTTTTGATCAAGATGAAAAAGGGGAGACTTGTAGTGTTTAATGTTCAATTTGCTACAACAACTCTTTGTGTTGTTTGTCATCCTCCCATCAGCAGCTGCAGTGTCTCTCAGCTGTATCAGTGCAGTCACTGGGACTCTGACTGAAGGAGGTTTTTGTACGACTCTTTATCACTGTGTGAACACATATTTACTGTTGATGTAGTGGTAACTCTGACAGTAATAATCTCCTCTATCTTCAGTCTGGACTCCACTGATGCTCAGAGTCAAATCAGTGCCACAATCGGCTCCATTTCCACTGAATCTCGATGGCATTCATGACTGGAGGGTTTTAATGTTACGTGCTAGTGGCGCCACCTTCTGTGTGTTTAGAGAATAAACCACTCAACATTGTTCAAGAAATACTTTATGAATTTACTCCGTTAAATTCAAACGAAGTGTATTATTCTATATAATGTATCTAAATGGAAGTACGGTTGCTCTACTGGGCTGATAATAGACGTAATAGTAAAGAGCATTTGCTTACAAAAAAAAAAAAAACAGATTCATATACGATACTAATGTTTTACGATATTACAGTAATGTTCGGTATTCTTATGCGGATTTGAGAGTTATAGCCTGTTTTTAGATTTTGAGAAGTGTAGTTCCCAGCATGCTTTGCATGGGACTTAACAGGGAGAGTACAACATTTTGAAAACAAGTATTATTTTTTGTGCTTTTGATCAAGATGAAAAAGGGGAGACTTGTAGTGTTTAATGTTCAATTTGCTACAACAACTCTTTGTGTTCAGTGGATTGTTTATTGTTAGAAAGTTTTGAATGGTGAACTAAAAATAATCTAAATATCGATATGAACATTCATTTAATCACATGACATCTCCAGGATGCTGGACATTTACGACATACAAAGTGAGGTTGGTTTACCACAGACATGTTTGAGAAGCAACAAATTCTCTATTGTTTCCAGACGTTTGCTCGAGGTTTCTACTAGTGTTGAAGAGCTGCAAACTTCAGATTTTTTATTTATTTATTTTATTTTTTTGGGAAACTGCTTTGTTTGCTACACATTTACCACATATTAACTGCAGGTTTACTGCAATTGAAACTGTTTTTTTGTAAAGGTAGCAGCTTGCCTGTACACATCTACAACCATACTAAAACATGCTAGAACATGCCAGCTACATGCTAGCAATGCATAGCGACATGATACAAATGCCTAGAAACACGCTAAAACTAATATTTACAATGATCAATTTTCTCAGAAACATGACAGTATGAGCAAATGTGAGATAAGAAGCAACCACATAGTTTTACCTTCCATATCTAATGCAGTTTGATAATTTAATTTAATGGGTCGTAAGAGGGTAATGGGGGCTGAAGTGGTCTAAACTTTTAATAGTGTGTCTCAATTTGACAGTAAAACCTTCCAACTTAAAGATGTTATTTAATTCAGACAAGGTTTTGCCAAGCCAACATCAACTTTTTTCACAATAAACTTCACAATCTATTTATTTGGTGTTATTAGTGTTTGTTCACTGATCAGTGTTGTGTGTGTGATTGTGTTTATGAGCAGCTGCAGTGTCTCTCAGCTGTATCAGTGCAGTCACTCTGACTCTGACTGACGGAGGTTTTTGTACGACTCTTTAACACTGTGTGAACACCCAGCTACTACGGATCCAGTTTAGACTCAGTCAGTAATAATCTCCTGTATCTTCAGTCTGGACTCCACTGATGCTCAGAGTCAAATCAGTGCCACAATCGGCTCCATTTCCACTGAATCTCGATGGCATTCATGACTGGAGGGTTTTAATGTTACGTGCTAGTGGCGCCACCTTCTGTGTGTTTAGAGAATAAACCACTCAACATTGTTCAAGAAATACTTTATGAATTTACTCCGTTAAATTCAAACGAAGTGTATTATTCTATATAATGTATCTAAATGGAAGTACGGTTGCTCTACTGGGCTGATAATAGACGTAATAGTAAAGAGCATTTGCTTACAAAAAAAAAAAAAACAGATTCATATACGATACTAATGTTTTACGATATTACAGTAATGTTCGGTATTCTTATGCGGATTTGAGAGTTATAGCCTGTTTTTAGATTTTGAGAAGTGTAGTTCCCAGCATGCTTTGCATGGGACTTAACAGGGAGAGTACAACATTTTGAAAACAAGTATTATTTTTTGTGCTTTTGATCAAGATGAAAAAGGGGAGACTTGTAGTGTTTAATGTTCAATTTGCTACAACAACTCTTTGTGTTGTTTGTCATCCTCCCATCAGCAGCTGCAGTGTCTCTCAGCTGTATCAGTGCAGTCACTGGGACTCTGACTGAAGGAGGTTTTTGTACGACTCTTTATCACTGTGTGAACACATATTTACTGTTGATGTAGTGGTAACTCTGACAGTAATAATCTCCTCTATCTTCAGTCTGGACTCCACTGATGGTCAGAGTGAAATCTCTTCCAGTATCTCTTGTTCCACTGCCACTGAATCTAGATGGAGTTCCTGACTGAAGGGTGTTTATATAATATATCAGGAGTTTAGGAGCTTCTCCAGGTTTCTGCTGATACCAGTATAAGTGATTGTAGCGTATAGCAGTGTCAATCTGGCACTCTATTGTAGCTGTTTGACCCTGCTGGACAGTTTTAACTTCGGGTTGAGTCAAAGTGACTCCTCTGGACTCTGAAGAAGAGAAAATAAAAACAATGTGTGTTTAAAACTGCATCATATACTTTTAAATGAGCAGCAACACCAGCATCAAACTGTTTATTTTACCTTGAATAAAAGCTGCAATGGTCCAGATGAAGATGATGATGTTGTTCATTGTTGTTGTTTTGTCTTGTGTGATGATGAAGATTGAGTTCTGTTATGATCTCAGTCATGAAGTGTTAAACTCACAGCACTATAAACACTCTCAGAGCACTGAAGCATGTGCTGACAATGCAAAGAAGTGGGCAGGCTTTATATGCTTTTACAACAGCCTGTGCTGCTACGTATTTAAACGAGCTTCTGATTAAATGAAGAATTTTCATTAAACCAGCTTTAAAAAAATAAAAAAAACTATTTTCAGGCTCACCTTTCAGAACATGCATGTTATGAATTAGTTGTGAGTAACTACTTTCATATGTTTGTATGTCTTTCATTGCATTGTAATTTCAGTCACAGTAAGCTGTGAATCATATTTTCTTTCAGTAAACCGACATTGCACTTCATCTCTAATATCACATCGCAGTATATTAGGAATTATGATTGTTTTGTTTGTGTGAATTCTGACATTTTATGTTTAATAATGTTTTCTTTAATAGTCTTGCAGTGTATATTTTGGTGCAGTGATGTAACTCAGGACAGAGACAGCACTAATGCAGTTTTTCTGATGTGCTGCTGTGTATTTCCATAAAAAGCATTTCATCACTCATCAGTTTGATTGTAGTTTATTCATATGAGCTGCATGTTTTTGTTAAAAACAAACCAGAGTCCATACATCATATTACACAATCTCTATATATTGTTATGTAAATGTAATATTAAATAAATGATCCCTCCTCCTGACTCTAGATACAGATGGATGAGTTTGAGACACTTGGTCAGTTCCTGAAGGAGGATAAGAGCAGAAGGGAGTCTAAATTCGGCAGAACTAGTGCTGACTGACAACAAAAAGATCTTATTTGCTTTATTAAACAACATACACATCCTGATAGCTAGTTCCTGTTATGCGTCTAATGTTCATTCATACTGTTTGTGTTCAGTTAAAAACAACAGAACTGCTTTGAGACTCAGCTGAGAGTGTGATGATGCTCTGCACCACTAGAGGGAGAAGAAGACGAGACAAAATCAAGAGTCACCTTGACCAGCTGACTAAATGAAAGTAAAAGAAAGGATAACATTTTGAGGGTTTAAACCTATGCCTGGACACTTAAGTGGCAGCATATTGTGGTAAGTTCAGAATTTTTTCTTCATGAAAACCTGTATATATCTAAAAATAATGATGGTAAGTTATTGTTAGTTTGAAGATATTTCACTGCCAGGACAATTGTAAATTGTACTAATTATACTATATAGTAATTAGATTGGAAACAATATCAGTGAACAAATGTTTGTTGATTCTCTTGCACAAATGGCAGAATATTAGATGATTGTTGAATGTCATGATGTGTGCTTAAACAAAATAACTGCAGTTTATACATTTGTTTTAGCTTGCATTACAAAAGTAGTGCTGAGTTCTGCACTTCTATTGTATCACAAGAACCACATTATTACTAAAACTACTGCTTTTCTACTGCAGGTAAATTTCCACACTTGTGAACATTAAAAGCTGAATCAACAGTGAGAAATTATTATGTACCTTGGTATAATAAAACCAATGTCTGAAATGTACCATTAAATGAAAAATATTAGACAAATATTAGACAAAAATACTCAACAGTATTTTTATTGTACAATCACGATATGTCAAAAGATCAAGGAAAATTCATCTCATGACCCCTTTAAATGTTGATGTGTACCTTGAGTGAATACTTTTAAGTACTATCACATAATCTAAAATATTTTTTGATTTCACAAATTACACTAATTAAAGGGGTCATATGATGCGATTTCAAGTATTCCTTTCTCTTTGGAGTGTTACAAGCTGATTGTGCATAGATAAGATCCCTGAATGATCTTTAAAAAAGCATCATATGACCCCTTTAAATAACGTATGTAATACTAAATAATACTATTGTTGATATTATTATCATTATAATTAAAACTATTAAATATCTGTACTAATGTTCAAAGATATGATTACATTTTCTCTGTGGATTCACACTGCAAATGATGTATGGTAAAGTTACTTGCACTTGCTGATCTTGAGTTAACTTTGAGTTTGAATTGTTCCGGGCTTTGTTTTAGTTAATTTTATCTCTGAGCAGTCCAATGAAGGCACTTAACTGTACAAGCTGTTTTGAGTAAAATCTCTGTTGTATTACACAAAACTGCACTTTTTACTTCACAGGTAAGTATCCAAAGCTACTCACGACAATAGTCTGTATTTAATTATGTGTATCTGTCTATTTACGTTTTTGTTTTTAACTATCTTTTTCTACTATTGTGTTTCCAAGATGGTCTGCGGTCAAACTCTTTGAGACACAAGAGTAGGAAGGCAGTGCTACAAAAATGAGCCTCCATGAGAAAAGAGAGAATGAAGACAGTATGTCTGAAATGAGATCTACTTCTCCCAGAACAAGCTGTGCATCTTTGTCTGATAATTCCATATACAAACTGCCCCCTGGAATCAGTGATGCAACAGAGACCTACAGTGACTCCAGGTATGGCATTACCACTTTTTTACATTTCTGTAGCTCAAACAGTAGAGCATAGCTCTCACAAAGCCAAGATCATGGGTTTGATTTTTTATAGGCTAATTCACACTGCACCAATAGACGCTGACCAAAACTAACACATGTGTTGGTTTTTGTTGGATCATTGTGTTACCCATGTTGCCATGTTCAGCCTGTATTTGTTCGGTTGTGGAATTTCGGAGAATGATGTATTGTAAGCAGGTGATTGTCCGCATTGGCCGGTGTCTCTCAGTACAGTGCTTAAACAAGAACTTGGTCTAAACTAAATGAAAAGCACATTTTGTATATAATTTTGTTCCCATTATAGCTGGCATATAGCAGATATACCTTGTATAATTTATAAAATTGTTTATTCTTGTTTGCTTTAAAATGTATATCTTTTAATAAGCAAATATTGATAGAAATGTGTATACAATGTACAGTGTATAATATACAATAGTTGTCACAACGTGGTTTGGATGAAGCACACGGCGAAGAAGTAATCCACGATAGAGTCTTTAATTATCAATTGAAGAACAAAACACTCAAAAATGGAGACAACAATCACAATATAACTTCAATGCAAGACAAGGGAACGGAGGAAAATACAGGGCTTATAAACACAGGGAACGTAATCAAGGATGACTGAAACAGGTGGAGTAATTAATCAAAAACAGGTGAACAGAATGGACTAATCAGGGAACAATGGAAAACTGGGTCAAGGCTGGATGAACAGAAACACAGGGAAGTCTAAACCAAACCAAAACAGAACATAAACACGACATTATGCTCGGGGAGCCATGGCAGAGCAGGCAGCTCTGGGAACCATGGTGGAGTAGACAGATCAGGAGGCCATGTCGGAGCAGGCAGATCAGGAGGTCATGGTGGAGCAGACAGCTCTGGGAACCATGGCGGAGTAGACAGATCAGGAGGCCATGGCAGAGCAGGCAGCTCGGGGAACCATGGCGGAGCAGACGGTTCAGGAGGCCATGGTGGAGCAGTCTCCGTGGCCTTGGCACTTGACCCGGCCACTATGGCCGGAGCCCTATAGCCCCCCCCCACACCCCAAAAAAAAATGTATTGGGGGAAATACTGGGTTCTGGGGCCCTCCGTGGGCTAGATGTGGGAACAGGAGCCCTCTTTGGGCTTGACTCGGGATAAGAAGCCCTCTCTGGGCTGGACTCAGGAACTGAGGCCCTCCCTGGGCCAGACGCGGGAACCACAGCCCTCTCGGGGCTGGATGTGGGAACAGGAGCCCTCCTTGGGCTGGACTCAGGATAAGAAGCCCTCTCTGGGCTGGACTCGGGAACAGCAGACCTCTCTGGGCAGTATTCGGGAACAGAAGCCCTCTCTGGGCTGGAATTGGGAACAGAAGCCTTATCTGGGCTGGAATCGGGAACAGGAGCCCTATCTGGGCTGGAATCAGGAACAGAGGCGCTCTCTGGGCTGGACTCAGGAACTGAGGCCCTCCCTGGGCCAGACGCGGGAACCACAGCCCTCTCGGGGCTGGATGTGAGAACAGGAGCCCTCCTTGGGCTGGACTCAGGATAAGAAGCCCTCTCTGGGCTGGACTCGGGAACAGCAGACCTCTCTGGGCAGTACTCGGGAACAGAAGCCCTCTCTGGGCTGGAATTGGGAACAGGAGCCCTATCTGGGCTGGAATCAGGAACAGAAGCGCTCTCTGGGCTAGACATGGGAACAGCAGCCTTCTCTCGACTCTGGACTGAGGCCATCTCTCGACTCGGGTCTGGGGCTAGAGCCATCTCTCGATTCGGGTCTGGGGCTAGAGCCATCTCTCGACTCGGGTCTGGGGCTAGAGCCATCTCTTGCCTCGGGTCTGGGGCTAGAGCCATCTCTAGTAGAGCCTCGATTAGCAGCCTCTTCCTCCTCATCCTCTGGGCTGCGGTCAAAGGGGTTGCTGAAGCTGTCATAGGGCAAGTGAGGGGAGCGGCCAGCAGGCTTGAGAGTGAATCAGCCGGCGGGCCTGAGTGAGAAGCGGCCGGCAGGCTTGAGAGTGGAGCGGCCGCTGGTTCTGGGCTGAGGACTGAGGCCGATCTTGGGACTGGAGATAACAGGAGTGACGCAGACTTTAGCGCTGACCTGACAGATTGGAAGGCGGGGTCAGCAACTTTGGGCCCCAGGTCATCGCTGTTAGAACTCCATTTATGGGCACGGGGGAGCCCAGGCAGAGATGGGTGGTCGAAGCCCTTGGCCAGGCATGTGGAGGGTCCCGGCGTGGGGTGAGCTGGAGAGGCACTGTGGTTTTCAGGAGGGGTTGGATGAGGATGGCTCATAATTTCTTCTACCTCTAAATTTGAACCATTTAAATAAAGGACAAGATTAATCAGCTCGATCAAGGAAAAAAAAATGTACACGTGGGGAGATCGCAGCGGATTGTGTCTTCATCCAGCCCCAGATGAAAACAGGCACCGAGTGAGGCGACACGCCAGCTCACGCCAGCTCACCCATTTGGAGAGCTAGAGGAAATCATACCTCTCCAAAGGATGTCCACCCTGTCGCAGGTCCCACAGCTGATCCTCAGCTTCAGTCATTTTGTTTTGAGGTTTTGCGTTCTGTCACAACGTGGTTTGGATGGAGCACACGGTGAAGAAGTAATCAACGATAGAGCTGTTGCTTTAATTAGCAATTCAAGAACAAAATACTCGAAAATAGAGGAGAAAACAACCACAATATAACTTCAATGCAAGATGAGGGAACTGAGGAAAATACTGGGCTTATGAACACAGGGGACGTAATAAAAGAGAACTGAAACAGGTGGAGTAATTAATCAAAAATAGGTGAACAGAATGGACTAATCAGGGAACAATGGAAATTTGGGTCAAGGCTGGATGAACAGAAACACAGGGAAGTCTAAACCAAGACAGAACATAAATGTGACAATAGTGCAGTGTGTGTACAGTATAATATACATATTGTTTTGTTTGTCTTTTGTCAATAGCAGCAGGAAGAAGAATCTGAGGTCAAAATCTCCAGAACCCAGCAGTGTGTCTATGAGAAGCACACAATCCATGTGTGATCCCATTTCATTCAATGATGGAACATTGACTTCTGCCCCACGGTTAGTATAAACATGTAGTTGCTGATTTACTGTAATTTACCTTGATTAAATAATGGTTTAAGAAACCCAATGAACACTAAATGTTCTCCAAAATATACAACATACAGTATACAATCCACACTGCTATGTTTCTTAAAATGTTCAACAGTCATTGTAATCATTGCCATTTTTGCTGTTGTTTCCTTTAATTTCAGCATTGTGGAGATAGATGATACAATTGAATCCCACTACCAGACCCACATCAGGCAGGAAATACCTGAAGCAGACCTTCACAAAACTAGCATGAAGAACAAGTATGGCTGCTTATTTGAGGGAAACAAAGGCAATGAAACCCCCTTGAACAGAATCTTCACACAGCTCTACATAATAGAAGGAGAGAGAGAAGGGGTGAATGAAGAACATGAGGTTTTACAGATGGAGAAAACACCCAGAACACAAAACAATCCAATAAACTGTAATGACATCTTCAAAGCCTTATCTAAACCAGTATATGAGGAGAAAGACAAAATCAAGACTGTTTTTACTAAAGGTATCGCTGGAATTGGAAAAACCATCTCTGTGCAGAAGTTCATTCTGGACTGGGCCGAGGGAAAAGCCAATCAGGATGTAGATTTCATGTTTGTGTTTCCATTTCGAGAGCTGAACTTTATTCAAGATCATCAGTACAGTCTTCACAGACTTCTGCTGGACTTCCACCCTGAACTTCAAGATCTGGACTCAAAGATTTATGAGGAAAGTAAAGTTGTTTTCATCCTAGATGGTCTGGATGAAAGCAGAATAACACTGATGTTGTCAGACACTGAAAAAGTTTGTGATGTGAATGAGTCTTCATCAGTGGGTGTGTTGATGTCAAACCTCATCAGAGGAGATCTGTTTCCCTCTGCTCTCATCTGGATCACTTCCAGACCAGCAGCAGCCAATCAGATCCCATTCAATAACATTGACCGTGTGACAGAAATTCAAGGTTTCGATGACCCTCAAAAAGAGGAATATTTCAGAAAGAAAATCAGTGATGAGCAACAATCCAGCAGAATCATCTCATACATCAGAAGAGCAAGAAGCCTCCACATCATGTGCCACATCCCCGTCTTCTGCTGGATCTCATCCACTGTGCTTCAAAACCTCCTGAAAGAAGATCTGAGTGCAGAAATCCCTCAAACTCTGACTGAAATGTACATCCACTTCCTGCTGATTCAGATCAACATGAGGAACCAGAAATATGAAGAGAGAGATCCAGAGAAACTCCTGCAGTCCAACAGAGAAGTGATTGTGAAACTTGCTGAAGTGGCTTTCAAGCAGCTGATGAAAGGCAATGTGATGCTCTATGAGGAGGACCTGAGAGAGAGTGGCTTAGACGTCACTAACACTTCAGTGTTTACTGGGATTTGTACTGAGATCTTTAAAGAGGAATCTGTGATTCATCAGAGGAAAGTCTACAGCTTTATTCATCTGAGTGTTCAAGAGTTTCTCGCTGCTTTCTATGTGTTTTACTGTTATTTAAGCAGCACCACAGAAGCCCTTAAGACTTTTGATTCAATGCATAATTTGCATAAAGGTGCAGTAGATAAAGCCTTAGAAAGTAAAAATGGACACCTGGATCTGTTCCTGCGGTTCCTGCTGGGCATCTCACTGGAGTCTAATCAGAGACTCTTACAGGATCTACTGACAAACACGGAGAACAGCTCAGAGAGCATCTGGAGAACCACACAATACATTAAAGAGAAGATCAAAGATGGACAAGGACTCTCCACTGAACAATCCATCAGTCTGTTCCTCTGTCTCCTCGAAGTACAAGATCAGACTCTGTCCAGAGAGATTCAGGAGTTTGTGAAATCAGACAAACACACAGAGAAGAAACTCTCTCCATCTCACTGCTCAACAATTGCCTACATGCTTCAGATATCAGAGGAGGTGCTGGATGAGCTGGATCTCAAGAAATACAACACATCAGATGAGGGCAGAAGAAGACTTATACCAGCTGTGATCAACTGCAGAAAAGCCTTGTGAGTGTTTAATCATGTGCAACAATGAAGAGTCTCTTCTGAATGGGATTGTATTTTCTGTGGTTTTGCTTATTTTTAGAATATCCTGATCTGTTTTACAATAATTAAAACCATTTAAGCTCAGGGCATTTTTTGGTACTTTCGCCTAAATTTGACATACTCAAATTCAAATGTTTACCCTACACACATACATTGGAGGAAATGAAAAAAAATGGTTTCATTGTAAAGAAAACTACAAAATATGAGTGTAATTCTTTATAAATAACATTATATATTTTTCAAATATTACAATAAACACAAAAAAACATAGGCGCTTTTGGAGTTTTAAAACAAATTATTTTTTTGAAATTCTGTAATTCAGGTTCTATTAGGTCCAGCTCTCTGCAATTTACTTTGTTCGATGCCACTATATGCCAAAAAGTACCAGAAAAAAAATAATATTTCAAATAACAGCTTCTAAACAGGAGTTATTACATTATAT